AGAGAGAGAGAGAGAGACAGAGAGAGAGAGACAGAGAGAGAGAGAGAGAGACAGAGAGAGAGACAGAGAGAGAAAGTGGCAGCCACTCAAAGTGTCAAAGAGATCTTAACCCTAAGAGACTACCAGCCAACAGGACAAAGACATTCACAGACAGTTACTCAGAGGGACCCAAGAAAGAGCCCAGAGACCGCTAAGCCAGAGGTACACACCGTTCGGAGGAACTGGACCTCGTCCTCGCCCTCTCCTCCTCCGTCACCCATGGCGTCGAGGCCCGTGAGGCCGGGGCTGAGGTCGGGGAGATGGCGAGAGGTGGGGGACTGGGGGCGGGCTGGGGTCAGAGCCCTCTGGGCACCGGCGAGGTGGATGGAACTGCGAGGAGGACACGCGTGCTGGACAGAGATGTGAGGAGGTCTCCGCCCCCCCAGCCCTTATTGGGCCAGGATGCCCAGACCACGCCCCCTCCATAGAGCCCCGCCCACACCCCCACAACACCCAACGCGAGGCGCGCAAGCTGAGGGTGGCTGTCTGAGCTTAGTTACACTTTCTCCACGCTGGAGGAGAGCAAGGTGCCGTCTTTCTGCAGTTTCACAGAGGGCAAACAGACCCTGCGGTGGGAAGCCCTTGCTGGGTGTTACATAACACGCCCAGGATGCTCCCCAGCATCTTCTGACCTCACGCCTGTAATTCCAGCACTCTCCTAGACTGTGGCAGGAAGAATTCAAACTCAGCAGTTTACAAGTCCAGGAAGACCTGGTCCCAAAAAAATTTTTTTTGAAGTCCCACGTGCCTATTGGTGATTTTATTTTATTTTATTTCCCATAATTTTATTGAGAATCAAATAGCAATGACTGGTCTCAAAAAAAAAAAAAAAAAGGATTAGGTGAGTAGCTCAGTACAAAGCCCTGAATTCAAATCCCAGTATAGGAAATAAAGAGTGACTTTGGTGAGGTGGGGCATGCCTGTAGTCCCAGCACTTGGGAGGCTGAGGCAGGAAGATCTTTGAGAGTTCAAGACCAGCCTGGGCTACAAAGTGAGTTCAAGTTCAGTCTGAGCTGCATAGCAAGACCCTGTCTGAAAGAAAGAAAGAAAAAAAAAGAAAGAAAGAAAGAAAGAAAGAAAGAAAAGACGAGCAGAGACTCTAAGACACATAGTGTGGGTCTTAAAAATCCATCTTTCACGTGCTTGCTGCCTTGGACAAGTTACTTAGCTTCTCTTGTGACTTGGTTTCCTCTCCTGGTGAGGGGAGTATTAATGGTGCCTACCTCATAGGGTTGTTAAGAGAGTTAAAAGAGAACATATTCACTGGGCTTGAAACAGTACCCACAGGTGGTAACCATGTGACTATGTTGCTGTTATTGTTAGTAGTACAAACTAACTGATGAAGCTAAAATTATAACCTAGCAGATGCCATTTGTACACCTGTTGTGTTTCAGGAGCCAGTCTAATATCATTTTCTTATATCTCACTTAACTTTCACAATTTATTCATGCTGTTTAGAGAAGAAAATAAAACATGAGGTGTCTGCCTGAATAGCTTTAAGGGTACAACCCAAAAAAATCATGTATCAAATGGGGAGGGGAGGGCCCAGGGAGATGGCTCAGCTGTATAAGCGCCTGCCTGGCTCGCGTAAGGTCCTGAGTTCAATCTCAGTTACCAAAAAAAAAAATAAATTAAATAAATAAAAAATGATTTATCAACCTCACAAATGGGAGGGAAACAGGGAGAAGGAAGAGGAAAGGAAAAATAAATAAATTATGTAGTCCTCACAACAATCTTGTGAGATATATCCTCTAGTTGTGCCCATCCGTGTTTTGTTTTGAGGCAGGGTCTCACTATGTAGCACAGGCTGGCCTTGAATTTGCAGTGATCCTCCTGCCTCAGCCTCCTGAGTGCAAGGACTACAGGCTTGGGCACCGCAACCTATTTAGGGTTCTTAACCATTATGCTTTACTGCCAGGATATTTGCATAAAATCTAATCACAACAAAACCCCACTTGCCAGGGCCAGACTCCACCCACACACTTGGGTCCAAAGGATTCTTTTCTCCCCTTTCCTCCCTGCCCTGTCTGCAGTTAGGCAAGCCACCCTTTTATACGGGCTCAGGCTCCGTAACCTGGGGAAAGAGCTAGATAATCTGTTAATCTGGCTCCCCATGCTGCTCCCCAACTGCTGTGAACTAAAACTGGCATCTGTGGACTGCACAGGCCCAGGGCGGGGACTCCATGCTCCTGGACCTAAGTGCCAGGCAGGCAGGTGACTTTGGAACTCAGGATCAGTTTCCTTATCTGTCAACTGGGCTAATTTGGAAG